TACTGAGGTGTCCAATCTAATTATAAGGTTAGAATACCTAATAATTTTTGAAATCTTATTTTTGAATTTCGTAAAGCAAAATAGGAAATTTAGTAACAGTGAGTCATTTTATTTTGTTTTAATTTTTGGAAGCTCATAATACCAAAGGCTTATTCCACCTCAAATCATGCAGAGCACCGGGTGACCGGTAACGAAACAACATCAAAATACTTGGATAATGTTCTAGGCCCAAAATAAGACGACCCCTATTTTTTCTTTTCCCCCCATGATGCATAGGTGCATCAATAACGTAAAGAAAAGAAAGATGCACTTTCAGAAAACAGACTAACAAAAAAAAAATATCGTATTCAATTTCAATCGATTTGCGCATGCTTATTTATCATCGGAATCGAATAAATCTTTTTTTATATGATAGAGAAATACTGAGCCTTCAAATCTATGCATTAAAATAAATGCACTAATGCATTTCTGAGAAGATTATGCACTTTTTCCAAAAAAATGCATCTCATAAAAAACTCGATTTATTTAAAAAACCCCACTTTTTTTTGCGCTCATAATTTTTATGGAGATTCTCTGATCCAGCTACCTTCAATCCAGTATAGGTCCCATTTTCGGTTTCTACTTTGTTACTGAGAAAAAAAAATTTTTGAACTAGAAAATTTTTTATGTTGACTATCTTGCATTCACACTCACGAGCATTTAAATAACATGATAATCGGCGAGTATTGACTTGTTATGATGTCAGCTGTTGTCATAGACCTTTATGTGTGTAGTCCTGTTTGTGTATACAAATTCCATGATACTTATAAATAGTCTTATCATTTATTCAGTAAGTAGCGACAGTGCGTGTTTGAATTTCTGCTTGACAACATGTCAGCTATGTTAACGTATTCTACGCAAAGATTAAAATGCCCCAATTATTTCAAAGTACATACTAAAGTGGTGTATAATAGCAACAAAGTGAATTTTCAAAAAATTGGTGACTATGCTGTATTTTTACAAGGAAAATTTACAAATCCTGATATAAAAGCTAGTGACAGTGTGTGTAGTAACTGCTACAAACGTATCGTTAAAGCTTGCGATGCAATACAAGCAGAAAAAGAAGAAGAAACAATGTCAGATGACAATATTTCAATGGAAGGGAATGACGAAGAAGACAAGTTTATAGACACCTCAATTTTCATGGATGAATTTAATGATAAAATAATTGCTAATTTAGAAAATCCAGTATCTCCTTTGCGTAAGAAAGGAAACATAAAAAATACAAGTGTTGAAAAATATGTTATGAAAAAAAAAGAGAGAGCTTGGATCATCATTCTCTGAAGCTACAAATTGTAAATTACAAAAGATTTATGATGTACCTATTGAGGAGCCTGTAAAAAAGTTAAATGATTATTTCCCTCAAGAATTGAGAGAAAATTTCTCTAAGGCCTTCAGTAATTGCTCATGTTTTTCAGAGGTGATCAAACTCTTAACAATTATCGTTCCTTTGTTAACAAAGTTCGAAATTTTGACGTTATTTCCTGAAGTTACTATTTACATGATTGATAAGGCAAGAAAAATTGTTTCAAATCAAGGTAAAAATATAAATTTTTTGTTATGTAATAACAATCAATGCACAATTTTTTTGCGTGTTTTATTTTTATAGCTATTGTTATATTATCTCTAATCCAGGTATTTATACTAAACCAGAGCAGTACAATGGTCATCCACTGGATAAAAAAACAGGCGATATTGTCATGCAATATTATTTGAATGATGACTTCAATTGTTCGAGACAAAGTCCTAATAAAGCAGATGTTATAACAGTAAGAGAAAATGGCACGAAAGTTAAAAAAGTCAAGCGTTTTTTAACCCGAAGTTTAAAGGAAGTATATCACACCTTGAAAGAAGAGAATCCGGGTATAAAAATTAGCAAATCTAAGTTCTATTCCATGCGTCCAAAGCATGTTCTAATCGAACCAATGAATGACTTATGCTTATGTATTTATTGTGCCAACTTTGAGCTGTACTTAATTGCATTGAAAAACTTTATTGGTAAAAGTAGTGTTGACGTTTGCCGTTTACGTTCGACAGTTTTATCTTCTGTAGTATGTCCAGCACCTCAAGAAACGTGTTACTATCAAGAATGCGAGTTGTGTCCAGGTGCTGCGGGTGTCACATTTGACGTTTTGCATATAGATGAAACAGAGAATGATAATAATATAACGTTTGCGCTGTGGAATAAAGGAAACTTAGAAACTAGAACAGTATCCGTCGCTACGTTCAAAGAAGAATTTACTAATCATGTAATTACAGTACATCACATTTACGAATCAAAGAAGTACAGCGGTTAGCAATTAAAAATGAAAAAGAAAGAGTAAAATTATATCCCTGTAACGGGGGCAGCGCCTTATTCGGCACTGACGTCACTAATTTATTAAGGGGAGAGTAAGAGAGGCACTTTCGCTCTTTAACAATCGGGGAACAAGAGGATAGGTCGAACGAATAAATAATTTTCTTTACTTGGAACATACAACTTAAATCTATTCAGACAAACAAATACAAAATCGGTTACAATAAAGTTTACATCACGCGCAAATATACAGAACAACTTAAACTAACGCGGGAGGACGAATGGCCCGGCGACTAAATTGCCTTGGCCATTTACCTCCTTACAAAGGAAAGAATACGTCGAAACCTCTCTACCGCATTACGATGAGCGTAGCCGGCAAGTGATCGCCTGGCTACGTATCGTTCCTACGCGGCCGCGCATCACCATGAGAGAGAGAAATACCGGGAGAGAGAGATAACCTGACCTTTGTCCTTGGCGATGAGCCGGCAACGGGAAGTTGACCTGGCCGCTGGCTGGACGTCTTCCTCGGCGTAGCCCGTGGTGAACCCACTGGAAGTCATGCCGTGCATGGTGGCGAGGGCGACACTGAATGCCCTGCTGCAGGTGTTGCCGCCACACGTTGCCTCGGCTCGCCCTGGTCTGGTCACTGCTGCACGCGTGCTTCTTCTTCTTTCATTGCGCTGCTACTTCCAACTTCTCTCCTCAACTTTCTTCCGGGCACTGCCTCACGCGACTTGACGCATGGTCAGCATTCGCGCTCTCGCCGGGCTCTCCCACCAAGCCTACTCATTAGGCGGCGTGCAACAAAAGCGCTAATTGATCGCGCGTCACACGCCGGCCTAATAACACTAGCATGCTCGCTAACTTTCTCTCTCTCTCTCTCTCTCTCTCTCTCTCTCTCTCTCTCTCTCTCTCTCTCTCTCTGTCTCTCTCTACCTCATAGTCGCTGCGCTCTTGCTTCTTCGGGCGCTCTCAATCTTGCTCGGCAATCTTCGGCGGCTGGAAAAACATAAAGGCCAGTGGTTAGGCGCAATAAATATATGCGCCGAACGCTGACCACGTCGCCATGCCGAGTGATAAGAGGGAGAGAGAGAAGAAGGGCAGACGAGGAGCAAGCGTACTGCTTGCTCTCGTCACATCCCCAACATTTGCTAATACATATAGATTTTGCTGAGAACTGGTCAGTGATTTCAAAAAATCCAGTTCAAGCAATCACTAGGTAAATAAACAAGTCTCTCTCTTCACTGCTGTCTGCTATGTAGGCAATGTCACAAAAAGTTTTGTGGTAGTAAGCGATGACTTAAAGCACGATTATTCCCACGCTTTACTAGCGATGCAAAAAATTATCGAAATTATTAGCGAAATGGAGGAAATTAATGGTGGTTCAATCAATTCTATTAGTATAGTATCTGATGGAGCTGCGAGTCATTTTAAAAACCGCTTTCAAATGCACGAATTCAAAAATTCAAAAATATTTAAGAAATGGTTATTTTCTGCGACTGGACATGGTAAAGGTGCTGTTGATGGTATAGGAGGTTTGGTGAAGCACTATGCCACAGTGCATAATTTACGTAGTTCTGAACTTGAAGCCATTCAAGATGCGAAGTGCTTCGTTGAACATGTTCAAAAGTACACTACGTCGATTAAATTGATTTATATGGAAGCATTTGAGGTTCAAAACTTTCGTAATCAGAAAATGGCAGAACGAATGGTGTCAAACAAATTCGAAGGCATTCAACGATGTCATATGTGGAAGTCAGTGATATCTGAAGGTAAATCGACATCGTTCATAGCTCGCACTGCTGTTCACTCTTGGGTAAAAATAGAAGAAAATAAAAAGAAAAAAAATCAAAGGAAAAGTAAAACAAAGAAAGTTTCGGTTAAAGCTGGAAAAATGTCTAAGAAACCTAAGAATGTCAAGAAGGCTAAAAAGAAAAAGAATGTAAAAAGAAACAAGACAAACAATAAAAAAATGTGATATAATCAATAAAAAGCTGTTGTACTTCTTTATTCATAAGCTTGCGAGTATGAGTGCATGATTGTCAACACAAAAATTTTTCTAGTTGAAAAATTTTTTTTTTCTCAGTAACGAAGTAGAAACCGAAAATGGGACCTATACTAGATTGAAGGTAGCGTATCAGAGAATCTCCATAAAAATTATGATTGCAAAAAAAAGTGGGGTTTTTTAAATAAATCGAGTTTTTTATGAGATGCATTTTTTTGGAAAAAGTGCATAATCTTCTCGGAAATGCATTAGTGCATTTATTTTAATGCATAGATTTGAAGGCTCTGTATTTCTCTATCGTATAAAAAAAGATTTATTCGATTCCGATGATAAATAAGCATGCGCGAATCGATTGAAATTGAATACGATATTTTTTTTTTGTTAGTCTGTTTTCTGAAAGTGCATCTTTCTTTTCTTTACGTTATTGATGCACCTATGCATCTTGGGGGGAAAAGAAAAAATAGGGGTCGTCTTATTTTGGGCCTAGAACATTATCCAAGTACATTTTGATGTTGTTTCGTTACCGGTCACCCGGTGCCCTGCATGATTTGAGGTGGAATCAGCCCAAAATAATTTTTGATTAATATGAAAATCGAACGATCATATTTTAATGTTTATACATTTTATCGTTTAAATATTTCACATTTGCTATTTTTTCAGGTTCATCGGTTGGTTGTCATAGATCAAGAGGACAAGGTTATAGGGATTATATCATTATCAGACCTATTGTACTACTTGGTTCTTCGTCCTTCTGGTTTGTAATACCATAGCTGTTTGAAATAGTTTTTAATTGTGAGTTATTAAGTTTTTCCTATATTTCTAGAACACGACCATTTACTAAATAATAGCTCTGGATCATTCAGAAAATATGTGTCTGAACAATGTGATGTCAATAAATAAGAAGCAGTAATAAAATCTACAGACAACGTCGCGATTTCATCATTTAGATCACTAACTTGAAGTAAAGTAGTGCGACATGGAAATTTAATTTCATTCAATAAAGTCTAACAAAAATAACTATATAAATATATAAATAATGATAATTTAATCTTAGATTAATATTTAAGAATCTTAAAATTATGTCTAAATAGATACTAACTATTACCGTATTTTATGACAAGTTCTTGATAGATTATGAAAATATAAATTATGCCTATCTATAAAAAAAGTCTACCGTTTAACTCTATAATTATAATTTCATATTATTCATTATTCATTATTGGAGAATACTATTTTCCTTTGGAAATAACAATTATAGCTAATATAAATGTATCTATTTAAATTAATAACGGAAACGGAAAAACCTATCTTATAAAAATGTGAGATTTTGTTAGATTATTCATGAATAACATTTATTTAAATTATAAAAACTGCTTATTATTAATATCGCATAAAACTCTACTTGGATTCATGCTATCTGTATTGAAATGCATATTGTTACTATGTAAATCTATAAATACTATGTAAGTACAAACGCAGGTTCCAAAAAGTTCTAATTTGAACGTTAAAATATATAAGATTTATTCATTTATCTCCTTTGTTCATAACACAATTTTCAAGATACTAAACATGGAATTTAACATTACTTTATTATGTGGTTTTCGATAATTATTCATTATTATGTGAGAATAAGAACTACTATATCTAAAATATATACATATAAGTCTAAAGATATATGCAACTGTTACGTGACGTTCCATTATGTTATAATTATATTTTACGATTAAGATTTCGCTCTCGAGAATTCCGTTCGGACATAGTAATAAAACACTATAGCTAGCAGTATTCGTGTGCGCGACTCGGTGGGAATGAGCGGCAGAGGGTGATTCACGTTACTGCAGCATGCTGCGACAGCATGCTGCAGTCAGCGTGCTTAGCTAGGTAATACGAGACGATACGAGAAGTGTAAACGTCTAAAGCATATGTGCGAGAGAGAGACGGAATGCGAGGGACAAAGAATATATATTAAACCGGTGAAAACAACGAAGAGAGATTAGTCAGTCAGGACTGAGCGCTAGAGCAACTAGGCCGCAATATTTCCGAATTCAGAGTTTATCTCGCCAATTGAAATTAAAATTTAGTTTGATTTGTCCGAGTTATCCAGCATTATTCTTTTACTTAATTAAAAGTTGAGTTCAGTTTGAGTGTTAATAAAAGGCAAAGAAACATAGCAAGCATACAGGCAACTTGTTCACGCCGCGAGGACCAAGGAAATATAAATTAATCCACAGTATTAATTGGACATATACAAATATACGTGTACATTTGACGGACCTTACAATCCGTTTAAAAAGAAACAGAAAGGAGAAAGGACCAATAAATAGAAAATAATATATAAAGGACCGATTGTCAATAACTTTATTTAAAAAATAAGTGAGTACCATATTGTTTATAGATAATAGACAACGCGAGGCGAAGAACACGCGTCTATATACACTCCCGCCCAATAATCTTTGCCCACCTAAGAACAAAACGACTATAACTTTGAAACTCCATATCTCGGCTGGAAATACACCTACAGAGCTCTGCGGGGGCTCATTTGATAGGGTTTTTCGAGCACTTTTTAATGGTGTATATTAAAATCATGCTTAGATATTTCCCTTGCAGATAGGACGGCGAATATCAAAACAAAAATTACGAAATTTTTGCTTTTTCTTTAACCGCTTGCCATTTCGAGAAAAAAATCGTAGAAAAATTCTAAACATATTATTTTTTAGCTCTTTTTCTGCACTATCCAAAACACTCATTCAAAAATAATTTTTCGTCTAAATTCAGCGATTATATGAGCATTTCATTCAAAAACAGCATCTATATTCATTGCTCTGTATCTCGGAAAATTCGAATTGTAGAAAAAAATTTTCTGGGAAGAAAATGCTCTATTTTGTAAGTAGAATACGTGAACGAAATTTCATAATCATATGAAAACATTTTTTTTTTCAGTCGTAATATCAAGTAGTCTAATTTTTTCAATATTTCACTTTGGAATAATAAAACAGATCATTTATACTCGAAGCTATTCTATTAATTGTATGCAAATCTCGATCAACGAAAAATCTAAGTAGAAAAATTAATCTAATCTACCAAAACTGACATAACTAATGATTAGTGAAAAAAATTTTTTTTTAATGTTGTTCTAATCTTCTAAAAAATTGTTTACCATAGTAACATATTAGTGAAGTATGGCACCGAGAGATTTTAGTAAACGTTATCAAGTTATTGGATTTCACATAATTGGTAAAAGCAATCGTCAGATTGCTAGTATTCTCAATATTCCTCGTCCGTAGACTACAATGTAAATAAATTTAAAAGTAGCGGCAGTGTTGAAGACAAGAAGCGCTCTGGTAGACCGCGGAAACGATGTCAGCATAGAATTTTATTTATGCATTCGCAACGTCCCGTATAAGAGTGCGGACAGTCTACACCAGCCCATTAAAACACACAATTCTCGGCGATCGAGGGATTTTGCTTCCCAATAATACACATATACTCCACATACACACACATGCAGATACTCATTTTATTAATTATTTTATAGATGATGAAGAATATCTATTGAGTTTTGATGTTTTTACGGAGGCAACAGTGCTACCAAAAAATCGAGGTTAGTATTTATTCCTTTACTAACACTCTATTATACTCCTATTTTTTATATTAAACTTATAATTTCTAGCATTATAAAATCTAATAATATTAATTGATTATTCTTTTATTTTTATGAGGAGGAGCAGGAGAAGGAGAAAAGAAGAGTGATGGTATGGAAGAAGTAGAAGAAGACGAGAGAGAAAAAATGGAAGAAGGAAGACAAGAGGAGCAAGGGATGAATGAAGATCAAGGAGGATAAAATGGAGAAGGATTGGAAGAAGAAAGAGGACCAACCGAAGGAGAGATAGATGAAGGAAGAAGAGAAGAAGGTGAAAGAGAAGAAGAACAATATCAGAAAGAAGTATTATATTTCATTTTTAATTTCTCAAATTATAAAATAAAATAAAATAAATGAATCTTATATTTTTAGATGGACATGTGAGAGAGGTTGAAGAAACGGTAACAGGGGAAGAGCGAGAAAATGAAGGGAATGAAGATGGTAAAGATGCTGAAACTCAGATGGCGAAACTCGTCCAAATTTTAAGGATAGATTTTGCAAGTTGTGTGCCAAATGACAGAAGCGTATGTATAATTATATCTTTTCATTTATAAAATATAAAATATGAGCTTGGGTGCGTACGCGTAACGTCGGAACGTTTGTATATAAATTATACACACGCATACGTAAGCTCGCCAAAACTATAACGCAAGCAAATATAAATCGGTTTCATTTAGAAATCATACATACTTAATCTTAAAAATATTTTCAGGTACGTTTAGTGGATGATGTTGATGTATACTTTTCAAAAGTTGAGCTTGACAGCATCATAAAAACGTACGCTCACAACAGTACTAGAATGGTTACAAAATTGATGAGTTCCTTGATTAAAAAAGAGGAACTCATAGCCATGACCGCTACTGGCAAGGAAAAAACACCTGAAATTCTAAAGGAGATATTTGAGGGAGTACTACGTAAGTAAAAAAACAATGTGTAATTGGAAAATAAATACGTATATTTAAATACATGAGTTTATTATTGTTGTAGAATTTGTTAGTAATGCAGTGAGTGAGGAACAGAACATTTCTAAAAAAAGGTACAGGACAATATTAACAAGGATGTTGAATCATATGAGGAATCGATAACGAAACTTTGTATATATTTATTTATATCGTTACTTTTTATTGAGTTATTGTTAATAAATAGTTCTTGAAAATATAAAAACCTTTTCGTGTATTGATTTAAATATAAGAGTTAAGACTATCGAAAACATATTTTTTAATTAGACAAACAACATAGAGTATTATATCACCAATTATTCTAAAAAATATACAGACGTACAAAAAATTATACGGAGCCGAAAAAGTTAAATAAAGTTCTCCAAAAGTTGAAAAATAAATACAAAAAAATGTATCCGTATATTATGACAATAAGCTGTACAGATAACAAAAAATTAGACAAAGTAAAATAAATATAGCCGAAAAAACGAACGCAAAATTACAAAAAGAAGCCACAAAATTAACCGAAAAAGTAACCGTAAAGTAGCCGGTAAAGTAACCGAAAAAGTAACCGAAAAAGTAACCGATAAAGTAACCGATAAAGTAACCGTAAAGTAACCGATAAAGTAACGGATAAAGTAACCGAAAACGAAGCCTGGAGAGCAAATGGAAAAGGCAATAATAGTGATCTATTTTATAAATAAATAACTATTCCAGAAAGTATCCGTGAGAGCAAACGAAAACAAGACCAAAAATGTAATGAAAACATAGCCAAAAAAGTAATCAAGAAAGTAACCGAAAAAGTAACAGAAAAAGTAATCGAAAAAGTAACCGAAAGTTACTTTAACGGTTACTTTTTCAGTTACTTTGTTGACTATGTTATTATTACTTTTCAGGTCTTGTTTTCGTTTGCTCTCACGGATACTTTCTGGAATAGTTATTCGTTTATAAAATAGATTACTATTATTGCTTTTTCCGTTTGCTCTCAAGACTGCTTTTATAGTTACTTTTTCTTTTACTTTTTCGGTTAGTTCTCCGGTTACTTTTTCGGTTAATTTCTCGATTACTCTTTTGACTATGTTTTTATTACATTATAGGTCTTGTTTTCGTTTACTCTCACGGATACTTTCTCGAATAGATTACTATTATTGCCTTTCCGTTTGCTCTCAAGACTGTTTTTATAGTTACTTTTTCGGTTACTTTTTCGGTTACTCATTCGGTTACTTTTTCTGTTACTTTTTCGGTTACTTTCTCGATTACTTTTTTGGCTATGTTTTCATTACATTTTTGGTCTTGTTTTCGTTTGCTCTCACGGATACTTTCTGGAATAGTTATTTATTTATAAAATAGATCACTATTATTGCCTTTTCCGTTTACTCTCCAGGCTACTTTCTCGGTTACTTTTTCGGTTACGTTTTCGGTTACTTATTCGGTTACTTTTTCGGTTA